GAATCTTCATCAGTTCATTTTGGAAGGAATTATTTCGTCTTTCGGGCACCAAATTGAAATTCAATTTAGCATACCATCCTCAAACGGATGGACAAACCAAAGTCACCAACCATACCATTAAAGCCTATTTGATGTTTTGCAAGTGATCATCCACTCCAATGGGTGCATTGGCTGCCATGGGGGAAATTTTGGTTTAATTCTTCATTCAACACTTATATTAAGATGACCCCCTTCAAGATACTTTATGGGTGAGACCTCCTATGATTGTCCTTTACTGTCGGGATAGCATTGTGGTGGCTGAGGTAGACCAATTATTGTTGTTGAGGGATAGCATCATAGAGGAGCTTAAACAATACTTACTTAGAGCACAATTTAGGATGAACGGGTAGGTGAATAAAGCGCGATGGAAAGTGGAATATCAAATTGGGGACATAGCTTGAAGGCTTTGACTATATAGGTTGAGGTCATTGGCAAAGAGGGTAAATGAAAAACTGAGTCCTAAATTTTATGGCCTCTTTTGTGTGGAAGAAAAAGTAGAAGTTGTTGCCTATAAGTTATCGCTGCCAGAATCATCTCGAGTGCACCCTATTTTTCATGTTTCCCAGCTTAAAAGGGCCCCCTACTAGTCAACCCAATCAAGCTCTGCCTCTATTTTTAACAGAAGAATTTGAGCTCCAAGTTAAGTCTGAAGAGGTGCTGGATGTCCAGAAACTCATGAATGGGAGCTGGGAGGTTCTAATTAAATGGAAGAATTTGCCTAATGAGGACAACACTTAGGAAGAATTTGATCTGTTGCAAGCAATATTTCCACACTTCAACCTTGAGGACAAGGTTCCTCTCAATGGGGGGGTATTGTTGGGTCCAAGCCAAATAGGCCTCTACTAAAAACATACCAGAGAAGGAGGGGTAAAAAAGGGATTGTGGGTAGGGAGTCTGTTAGGGAAGATTCTTACGAAATAACAAATTGAATGATGTGGAAGAGGGAGGGAGCGGCTGAGGGAAGGATATAAGGTAGATGATTAAAGTGAAGAGGTAGGAAATATCTGGGAAGTGATTGAGGGTGGCTGCTGCCTTAGGAGAATTTTCTATTTCATCATTATTACCTTTCTAATATTTCACTTTTTTGCTTGTACTACTAGGGTATTCCTTGAGGTTTTAGTGTTAATTCCATAAATACATTCAGTTTCTATCAGATATTCAATTTGATTGACTCTGTGTAAATTTCTAGGGGCCCAGTTCTCCAAGCTCTGCTCCATTCTCTCTGTTTTTAATTTCTTAAATGTGTTTTCTTTTGTGATATTTAGGAAGAGCTCAATTCTTTGAACGAAATCCTTCACAAACCTTCTTCCGAATCTTCATTTTAAGGTAAGGAGCGTTCTAACCCATCATTAAGACATAGTTAATATTCTGTGTTCATAAGAGTACTATTGTGTATTTTTTTTGTTTTGTTTGAAAAAGTATGTTTGAATGATATTTATGGTTGTGAAAAGTTGATGATATGTGTTTGGATGATTGTATCATATTTCACAATATTTGTGTTGCATGTTTTAGGTCTAGAAGTGCTTTATTAAGCACGATCTCATTTAACTGAACAATGAGAATGAGATGAAAGGAAGTGTATGATGGGTACAAAGTGATGAAAGGAAGTGTATGATGGGTACAAAGTGATGAAAGGAATCAGTGTAAATAGTTATAGAGATACAATAGGGGTATAAAGTTCAGAAATGATTAGGAAATTTGGAAAAAACGTAGGGTAGAGAATGACATTTGTGCACATGTACACACTATTTCTCAGAGCAAATGCATCACATAGCTTCACACTCGTTCCTTGACTAAATCTTTACTAAGGGGCTCATTATTGTATATGTTGTATCTATGTGCATGGGCTAACTGGTAACTATTTACTTATTTGTATAAGACCTCAGGAAGTGATGGAAGCATCAAATATCTGTGATCATAGTGCATGGAAAGTATGTAGTTGAGGGAGAGAATTGTATGAAATTTTGTTTGAGTATGTATTCAATTGTGGAAATTGCTAATGTATTTATTATATGTTTGATGTTGTGATGTGTAATAATTTATTTGTATTATGTTTAATGGTAAGAAAAATGCTCATTTTCACTAAACATTTCAAGGAGTAAGGATGATTGAATCTAGAAGAACTACTAGATTAGTAAATTATCTTGTAAATTGTAGGATAAATTATGTATTTATGAAATATCAACGGTTGTGTTATTTTAAATTTGTTGTAGACTGTGGTAATGGTTCGGGCAATATTTCTACCCTAGATATGACCCTAGATTATAGTGTACCTTCTGACTATCTTGTAAATAATAAGATCTGTCACACCCTTAGTATTCATATTTATAGAGAGGCAATCAGAACCTTAGTAGCTATGAATTATGTTTACCTGTAACGCCTTATATTTCTTTCCTCAATATATGATAAATTTTCATAAAAATTTAAGTAGTAAAGTAAATTTTCTTTCAAAAACTCTTTAATGAGAAAAAAACAATGAAATGATATAAGATTCATAGAGTAAAATTTCATTAATTTATAAGTACTTTAGAAAAATAAGGTTTCTAAAATTTTCATCAGCAACAAAAAGAAATAGTAGTTTTACAACTGTTTCAAAAGAATGCTATAGAATTGAAAATATTCATTACATAACTCAAAATAACTAAGTCTTATAGCAGTTCTCATCCATCCATGCACTGTGAGCCTGATATTATTCGTCTTGGTTTCTTGAAAATGTTGTGTAAGGGTGAGTCTCTACCCTACCACTCATACATAACACATATTCATCACAAAACATATCTTATCATGATTAACGAAAACATCATGGCATTACATATCACAGTGTCATATAAAGCATGTTCGCATCTCAACACATATTATATTCCATAGATTCACAATTTCTTTTTCTTTTATTCGCGCTTACCGCGCCCTGTGGCCATAGTTATCCGATGCCTCTATCCCAAGTTGTTACACATCTATGTAAATAGTCGTCGGATGACCCAATGCAATAAGGATACAACGCATGCAATAGACAACCCTTTAGCAAAGGTAATGGTCAGGAGTCAAGTCGGGAAACGAGTGTGCGTCCATGTGGTGCATTCGTACACAATATTCCATACACAATCCTGAATGTCACTTACCACCTTGCATTTTCCTAAGATATCTCATATCGTCTCTATCTTCCACTCCCCCAGTGTATCTCTGTAACTATTTACATCATATCTTTTTTCATCTCATATTCTTTCAAGTATATTCACATGTTCACATATGTCATTTCTCATGCTCACACATATTTTTTATTATATTTTCATATAATTTTCATCATATACATCAAATCATGGTATATTCACAATACATATTAATGTGGCAACTAATCTATGTACTTTCTGGCTTATTGTTATATATAATGCTTGAAATCAAAAGTTGAGCAAATAGCCATACAACTGCAATTGAAAACAACATTGCAAATCAACCACTTATGCTTATAATAAAATAATTGAGATATTGAATAGAAAACAACAATTTTATAGAATATAACTCCACCTTTAACAATTTATATTAATGGTTGTTTTGTAACATACTTTATTCAAAGTGCAGCCAAAACAAGCACACAAACTTATAAATAAAGTGATTTGGAAGCCTACCTAGTTGATATAGCAAATTGAATCCTTTCTCCTAATGCACAAACCTTCGATGCCTTCAATGATCGAACATCACACCAATAATTTTGTTGTTCTAATATTTGTTTTTTTCTCTTGCTACCGCTCAACACTAGTTATTCTCTCTTTTTAAAACAAATTAATTTTTTTCTTTTTTTTACTTAGGGGCACTTGTGGTAGAAGGAAACATGTTTAACCTTGAGTTAACTCAAGAATATTTTGTAAAAAAGTTGAATTCTTAAAATTGCAACGTAAGAAAAATATTTCGGTAATAATACCAAATTTATATCAAACTATTATATAAAATATAGTATATCAAAGAACACTACACGTAAAAATACTAACATAAATTGCTGGACAAAAGGAAGATATTTCAGAAGTCGTGAATGTATTGCCTCTATGAAAGTTAAATGTTGTGATGAGTTAACAATACGTGGACCCTCAGAGTGGTTTCAACTTTCAACAACTCTTTGTTGACCTTCTGCTTGTCCTTTTTTATGCACCAAACTACCTATGTCAACAACGACATCACTATAGCATCTTAAGCAAAAAAATTTAGCATGCTTTCAAAGATTAAAAAAAAAAATTTGATATTTGTCATCATATAAAATGTAAAAAGACCAGCCTCATGAAATTTAGAAAGAATAGCCGTGTGACTTGATATGGTAATGAATTGATCAACAAAGATGAACAAGATAAAAAAAAAAAAAAAAGCAAGAAATCAATGCAATAGTCATAAACTGTAACTTCAACTGAATCTCAACACACACTACTGTTGTCCTGAAGAAAGTGAAGGGAACTACTTCCACGCGTTTGGTTATTACAAATATATGTCATCTCATGTTGTCTCATGCTTGATAACCAAATGATTGGGTACTTTTGCCAACCAAAGGGAGAAAAGATAAAATTTAACTACTAAATACGCCAACCTTTTCTCCGCGAAATTTTCAAAACAAAGTCAAATTAGGTTTACTACACAAATAGTTGTAGATACTATGATATTAAACCTAAAATTAATTAATTTATTAGATACGAAAACTCACAACAAATTCAATTTAGAAAAAATAAGCTCTATTTTCCTTTACTAGAAAGTTAACTAATCTCCGTGAACAATAAACACTTGCGTATAATTACAATATCTTTTCTTAATGTAGTTAATTATATTTGGAAAACAACATAATTGATAGAAAACAAATAGAATGGCTTATAGTTAGTTGCACTGTAAACAACAATCCACAGGTAAACAGGTGATCGTATTTCAATCTAAGTTCAGTTTCTAATTCTTGAATCTTACAATAGATGAGAGGAGCATGAGAACAATCATCACTCACGCAACTCATAAAGCAGATCTTTTTCTGGATTTGAGAAATCGCAAAGAGCACAAATATACCCATTCTTCAAAGTCATAAAAAGGAGTAAGATTCCAATAGTAGAAGGTTTAAGAGTAACAAATACTCGTAAACAAATTTCTGCTCAGAAACGACATGGTCAGGGTCAGTTGTTAGACGTTACAACCTTTTATTCCCGGTCTTCGTTAGATGTTACAGTCAAATCACACTTTTCTATTCAACGTTCTTAATTCATAGACTTGTTGACGGTGCAAACTGGTCTGTACCACAGGACCTTCTTTCCCATCGTAACCGCAGAAAACGGAACAATAACAGTCACGTAAATATAAATATAATTCAATTTAATGGTATTTAATTATTAAAAAAATGTCAATGTAAGCTATAAGGGCTAATTTTAAATACTTGGAAAAAAGTACATTTTCATAAAAAAAATTATATTTTTATTAATAAATTTTTTTTTATCAAAATATTTCTCTTAAAGAATCTTTTCCATCTATACACTTTAATTATATACATTGAGGTAAGTTGTTTAAAGATTGGTAAAAGAGTTAAGGGTTTAGAATTTAATTATACTATCTTTTATGATAAAATGTTTTTTTAATAAACAATACAAAATCTTTTCATACCTGTACTAACAAAAATTTTAGGTACCAGTATTATACTCCTTGTGACAGCCAAAGTGGCAATATCTGAATTTAATAGAATAAACAGCTCTAAGTGAAGTATTTGCATTCAACCAGATATTAGAAAGGTGTAGTTTATGCTAACTAAACATTCCATATATAGCGTTAAAGAAAAAGAACGTCTTCCATGCTGGTTTATTCTGTAATGACTAATGCATTCCCGATATTGATCTGGGTTAAGTGAAGTCTTTAAATTCAACCGGATCATAGAGTGGTTCGCCCCGAATGCACATTAATTTGACGCAAGAAATTATTGCTTCTCACATACAACTTTAGAGTTCATAATGACTGAAAACAATGCGGAACCAAAAATGCTGTAAATCTTTTTTCTTTTTTTTTTATGCAACAAGATACGCTATTTAAATAGCATATAATTTCAACCCGCTCACTATTTTCCCTCTATTGTTTCCATTTTCATCTCTATTAAAATTCCATGTAACAAACCTCTGAAGCTCTAGGAAACTGCATAATTCGCTGGTGCAACACGTTTAGCCTCTCTATTCCCGCGGGAGAGTCAAAATCATATCCATTGCTATAAATGTAGAATGCATCCAAAGCTGATGCTGCTTGCAACAAAAATTTAATGGCGTTTAGCTCTACTTCACTCCCTGCAAAACCATATATCTTGATGGTCTTGAGGTGTGTTCCAAAACAAGCTGGTAATGGATCAATGTTGTTTGCGCCACTTTGAGGCAGAGAGACCCCCTATGTTGTTATGAATAGAACACATTAGTTATCAAGAAAGTTGTTGGCATTTGTAAATACAAGAAAGATTTCTGGTTTGAAGCAAGTTACCATAACAAGCTCAAGAGTTTCGAGAATAGGCGAGTTCCTTAATATGGCCAGCAATGCATCACAAGAGAAACCTATGGGTGATACCGAGATCACACGAAGCTCAACCAATTTATTGAACAAAGAAAGATGCCCGATTAAAAAAGATGTTCGCGAGAGCGCCTATGATATGCACAATTGAAAGAATTCGTAAGGGTATCCAAAAACATCAAGAGAATCTATATAACAAGTGATTAGAAGATGTGAGCAAACCTCGGCAACATAATCAGTAAATGATAGCTTTTCCACATTTGAGAGGGCTTTCAGAAGTTTGAAAACAAAATAAGGCGAGTCCAAGCGACTATCTGATGGGTAGACCTCAACAGTTGCATCAGTGACCCATGAAGTACAAAACAAGAAATAATCATTTAGGAGGTCACCATCATAAGAGAATGTTTTCAGGTTACTTCCAGTGATCACTATTTGGCAGTGAGTTGGAACACTACGACCACCTGCATCATTTTCTTGATCCAACTTGACAGAATCATCGGCGTCATCTTTCCACTCTCTTATGATCAATGTCTTAAGCGATGGACAAGCGATACAAACAGCTTTAACTTTCAACCAACTACAGTCAATGAGGGTTAACTCCTCCAGGGATGGGCAACTAGAGAAAAGCTGTTGAGTTGGGGAACCATCAGGGAATATAACATGCTTCAAAGTCATGACCTTTAGATTTTGAAAATAAATGGAAGAAGGAAGGTTCATGACATGCTGCATACTAAGTTGAAAATTTGTCAAGGTTTCAGAGGTAAACAGGTGATCAGGGAGGACCAATGGTTGCCCAACTCTTTCAAAATCAAGATTTAACTCTTCAATGCTAGGCTTGATGAAACCTCCTAGCCACCTATTAACCTGAGGAGCATCCTCACCAACTTCAAATGCAATAGAGAATTTTTTAAGCCTTGAGGAATTACATGCAAGTAATTTCTCAACAAAGTCTATGAACTGTTGCCTTTTCTCAGGTGATCCTTCTTTCAACTCAATGTTTGAAATTGCCATCCACAGAGCCACCCATCGTTTGGATAATACACTTGTCTGAACTGCTTCTTTGGTGGGAAGGCTGGATATTATCTCTTGGAGAATTACGTCAGGAAGATCACCTAAACTGATACACCTTTCAATATTCCTTCCCTCTCCTTCATGATGCTTCTGGTGCTTACTACTGATCGAAGAATTTGCGTCCATGCCTCTAATCGCTTCTCGAAATGTTATACATGATATCAACATTAAAATAAGTGAGAAAAATTCTATAATAATCTAAATTGCAGGAGAAAAATATACCCATGTAGTTATTACATTAATACAACTGATGTAACATTTAAATTATTTTCCTTTAATTTAAGGCAAGAGAGGAAAATACTCGATCCAGAAACTATAACACAGTCCTTTACCCCATCCCTAAACTTTGTCATCAAAATTCATCCTCATTTATGGCTTGATTGGGTTTCGTCAAGAATCGATTTTCCAAGAATAAAAAATGTATCACTACAATGTAACTTACTTAGGAAATCGTGCACAATTTATTATTGCCTTTGAATTTTAAAATCGATTTTACACGCAACACGAACGTAAACAAATACTTGAAATTTATTACACCCAGTTAAGAACTCAATTCATTTTTTCTACTTCATTCACAACTGCAATTAATAAGCCCAAACACCACATGACGGGCCCAAGTGGATTTTGCTTTGTTAAAGCAACGGAACTAAATTCATTTCCCTTTTGCCACCTTTCTCCCATTTTCCTTGATTTTGAGTCAGGAAATAGGGAAAAAAAAAACGAAACCTTTTAACTTAACTCACTCCAGCACCAACAAAGCAAAATAGTGGGTGTCATTCTTTGAAACCATAGCTCACTCAGGCACAGCAAAGTAACGTTTTTTATGACACCAGAAGTTAAGAAACCTCTTTAAATAGTTGGTGGCATGGTTTTTCTAGTTGGCAGCAGCAACAATCACAAACACACAGTGAAACCAGCACAATAATTGAAGTAAATGGTTAAAACCATTGCTATATGAAAGCAGAATCAAAGAAGTAAAACCAAAAAACACATATAAAAGTGAAGGGATTGATTACCTGAAAGAATGAAGCTGAAAGCAAGAAAAAGGCTTTGTCGGAGAATGAAAATGGTAAGGCAGTGGCAGAGGATTTGACCTACTGGCAGCACTGCCAATGGCAGAGTAACTGACTACTACTGCTACACTCCTTTGCAGTTTGCAAAGTAACTCACTGAATGCTCATGGAGTTCATGATCTGGGTGTGTGAAAAAACATGGCACAGGCTGTTCTTATTTATAGATGTTGAATATGATTATGAAATATTTTTTTTTCAATACATTTATTGACAGATTTGGTATGTAATAAATTTCAAGGCGTTTTGTAAATTTAATGATTAAAAAAAGCAATAAATTAATGTTATAAATGTGGAGTAAATTATATAATTAAATATTTATTTAACATAAAAAATTAATATTTTCTTCTTGCAACTTAAAAGAGCAATTTAGATTTTGCCTCTCAACTTTATCTTAATTTATTTTAATTCTTTAGTATTTTAAAAAAATATCAAATAAATTATTAAAAATACTAACTTATAATTAATATTTTATCTTTTTTTGTCACATGTTATGCACCTATCACTATCTTCTTTTTTAAATTTTTACACATTATTCATTATTTTCTTTTTCAAGGTTTCAACTTTTTTTTTATGTCTTCATCTTCTTCCATCTCTTTGCTTCTTTCCTTAAATCTTAAAATCTTGTAAAGTGATAATTATAATTTTAATGATTTAATTGTTGACAAATTCATAAAATAACAATGTTATACATTGTCTAAGGTTAACTTTTGTCAATACTGGTGACAAAAGAAAGATTGGAGGCAAAAAGTAAAGTCAATGCATATTCTTTTTTTATTTTTTGGATTTTTTAATAACTCAAATAAAAAATTTATATATAAGACATTTTAAATATTTATTGCATAAAGAAAAAAAATAAAACGAAAGAAAAAAATAAAAGAAAAAGAGATGAGAGAAAAAGTTGAAAAAGAAAACGATAAACGATTGTGACATAAAAAAACAAAAATAGTAATTAAATTTAATATTTTTTAAAAATAAATGATTTATTTAAAACATTTTTAAAATATAAAAAATTAAAATAAAGTTAGAGTATAAAATTAAATTTAAAATTTGAGTTGAAGAATAAAAATACTAATTTTGTCTTTCATAAATATTTAATATAAAAGAATTTATTATATAAAAGGTGCAATTAATTAAATTTAATTAAAATTTACTTCAATTTAACATATTTAATGAAGAAAACGTTTCAGCTAAATTAATAATTAAAAAAGTGTATCAGCTTAAACTAATAAATTATTTTATGAAATTAGTGTTTTTGTTTATGCGATACATCTGTAACCCATGATGTAAATTATAATCTTGCAATTATAGTTTATGCGTATATAATAAAAAATTTATTAAAATATTCATATAATTTTTTTTAAACAAATTGTTTGTTAATTTTTAAAAAACTTATTACTTTAACTAGTAAATTTTTTGTACATCAAAAAGTAAAAGGGATATTTAAATATTTTATATGAAATATTGAAAGATAATAAATCAAATATAAATTAAATGATGTAATTAAATTAAAATATGACTACTTGTTAAAATTCATTCAATGAACGTTTTTAAAAGTTGAAAAAAAAAAAAAACATGTTCTTGATTATTAATATATATATATATATATATATATATATATATATATATATATATGTGTGTATGTGTGTGTGTTGTAATGAGAATATATGTATATGTGATGACGTAGACTGGTACGAGCATGTGTGGTGATTATAGTGGAACTAGGATTGTTGAAGATGATTGGAATTGGATTGAAATTTTAGCTAAGTGTCTAATGCAGGGTATTCTCGCTGCAGCGAGACATCTCTGTACCGAGAGGGTAGTGGGAGGAAGGCGTGAAACTATCACCTTCTCGCTGTAGCAAGAGAGCGACAGTTTGAGGTGTATTTCTGGGTGCAGTCTCGCTGTAGCGAGATTTTACAGAAACCAGGGTGCAATTTTCTTTGAGATTTTTGCTATAGCGAGAGAGAGTGTCGCTGTAGTGAGGTCCTACTATAGCGAGAGTATCGCGACCAGAAAAGGATTTAAAGCGGTTTAGGGTTTGGAGAATCTCATTTCTCATATCTCCCTTCAAAATTTTTTCGATTCTCTCAATTTCAAGCCTTATTTCACCGATTAAATTGTCTCCAAGGTTGATTGAGAGCAAGATTGAAGGTTGGATTCACGTTTGGGGTGTTTAGAGGTAAGTTTTATGGTTAGGGTTTTGGTTTCTCGACCCTATTTTCTTTTTGAGTTCTCATGGAAATTCTCCATGTATGTAGGATGGAACTTGTGTGGTGGACGATTCTAGTGTTGATTCACGTTGTGGGTCTTCGAATTGAGGTAAGGGGAGACACTACCCTATCTCATTTTGTTTAGAAATCCATTTATTTACTATGTGGTAATGTGGCTGAGATTGGATGTGGGAATATGAGTGCTTTTAATGAATTTATCATGCTGGGCAAAGCATGTTAGATGTCGGTTGGTATTATGTGTACTGAAATGGTTAAATTGTGTATGATTGAATGACCTAATGGATGTGATTATACTTGTGTAGAATGTATTAGAAATTATGTGAAGTATGGGCAAGGTGAGACTCTATGTTTGCTTGTGTGTTGGATAGTGTAGAGTAGTCACCCTTACATTTATTTTTCAGGTGACCAAGACGATCAGCACCAGACTCAGTGAGGGAATTGATGATACTACTTTTGAGCTCAAATTTTATTTTGAAATTTTAATGTACTTGGATTAGTCCTGTAACAGTTTTCTTGATCAAAATTTGTAAACACTTATATTTTGGAATATTTTGTTGAACTATGCTTTGAAAATCATTTGAATGAAAATTTATTATTTCCATTTTTACAAAATTTATTTATTTTAGAAATTAAATTTAAAGTGTTACATAATACATCGACAAAATCAATAAAAAATAATTATATATTATATATTATAAATTTATACTTTATCTAAAAATATCTATAATATTAATTAGCCATTTATACATTAAATGACTCAATGTATTAAATTATTTGAGTAAATGGTGACCAGCTTGATATCATAGATTTCGTATAAAATGAATTCAGTAGTTAATGTAGGCAACTTTTTTTCCTACTTATCATTAAAAAAAAATTAACTGCTTTTATTCTTTAAAATTCCTTAATTTCTTTGTTCGTTTACCAAAAAAATTTCTTCATTCCTAGATTTTGTTCTAACCTCAAACATAGAATTTCTTAGCAATTCAGCCTACTTACCATAAAATCCATATTTTCCAAAATTGAATTAACCAAAAATAATTCCTTATATAATTCAAATATATTATTATTATTATTATTATTAAAAGAATTATTTAATTATGTTTATAAATATTTAAAATTTACTTGATTAATTTTTAAAATTAAATATTTATTACCTAATACTTTATTTAATTTAAGAAATATTTATCATTATTAATTTGACCATAGTCAAAATAGTATTGTATGATGAGGTGCTTATACCAATTTAATGACTAATTTATTTTTAAAAATTAAAATCTCATTTAAACCAAGATTTTAAGGAAGTGGGTGATAATTCTTATATTTTCCAAATAACAGTTGAAATTTTTCAAAGTAATGAAAATGCATGTATTTTTCAAAATTTTTTAGAAAAATAATTTAAAAATTTAAATTCACATATAGAACAACTAAAATTTTTGCCATGACAATTCATTTAGTTCATGACACATACATATAAATTTAAAATATAAATAACTATGTCAATTGATAGGGTAACTTTGAATTACTTATTATAGCAAATTTTACTATGTATCATAAATTCAAAAGTTGATAAAAGAATAATTACATATTTTTGTCAACTTCAAATTGAAACTTAATTCAAATTATTACAATACTTAAATTAATCTAAACACCACCAGAGTAATTCCTTCTCACAGACTCACTAAGAGTATGATTCTAGATCAAATCAACGTCCTTTAACTTCTTCAATTAGCATTTCTTGGAAACATATATCGTAAGGGTGAGTATTCTCACCCCACTAATTCTTTTTATTTATAAATCATTCAAAATAACACAAGAAACATAA